CAGCTTGCGGCCACCCCGTGTGCCCAGCCTTCCCCTGCACCCCCCGTGTCCCATCCCATGCTGTCCCCCCGCCCCACCACTCAACCTCTGACATTGCTTCTACAGGGCACGCTCTTGAGAAAACATGGCAAGGGGACAGAGAAGGTAAATAGCCGTGGGCTCCATGTGTGTCGTTGCCCCGTGGCCACGCTCGTGGCCCCACACCCGCCTGCTGTGGAGGTCCAGGCTTGTCCGTGCTTCCTCTGTTGTGCTCTCTGGATGTGCCGTTGCCTGCGTGGCGTGTTGTCGTGTTGAGGTGTGCCGTGTTGTCCGGGATGTGCAGGATGGGGGCAGTGACCTGTTTCTGTGTCGCCCAGGGTAGGGAGAGGGTGTCGTGTCGTTTTTAGCCCCCGTGGGTGGGTATGGGGGGCAGGCATGGGGGATGCTGCCCCATGGTGCTCAGCACCCCTCCAGGTGCCTGGCTGGGACAGTGTGGGGACGGGGTGTCCAAGCACAGGAGATCCTGGGCACAAACCTGTCCCACTGCTGGGGGCTCAGGAAGAGGCGACCCCCAGGATGCTGGGCCATGCTGGGGGTGTGCAGGGCACACTGAGGGCCATGGTGCTGCTAAGATCCCCTGGACCTCTCGCTTCCCCCTGATGCTTGGGGGGCCTCAGCAAAGCTCGCTGAGCCCCAAAACTTGCCAGAAGGGCTTTCTCCAGGCACACGGGCTCTCCCTCCGTCTGGGTGCTCCCCACCACCAGGCTGGGGGCCCAGCACAGCCCTCCAGGCTGCCTGCTCCCAAAACCCGGCTCTCGGGAAGAGCCGTGCCGGCATCCGTCTGGGCAATGCCTGTGGCTTCCCCCCGGCCCGCTCCTCTCTCCTCTCGCAGGGGACAATGGGTCCTGCCCCAGTTTGCCGAGCGTGCTGGGTGAGCTGCTTTCCTCCACCTGCTGCTATTTCTCCAGCCCCAAACAAGGTGGGGAGCAAGCCTGCCCCCACGCAGGAAGAGACCTGGCACACTCATCACAGGTTCACCAGCAAGTGCACGGGGCTGAGCCTTTGCAGGTGTGAACTGGTGCCGAACCAGCGGCACCAGCGGAGAACTGGGCGCAGCCAGAGGAGACTACAGGGCCAGAGCCCTCACGGACGGGGGATGTGGGGGGCCCGGACCCGCGGCTGGCG